AAAACAGCACGTTGTAAACAACAAATTTGTGAGTAGAATTTACAAAATGCATATCGTGGCCTCTAAGATATAAGCAGGGAGAGCCAACACGCTTTATCAAAAGGGAGCGAACATTTGAACTCTCTTTTTCCAGGTGTGTTTGACTTATTCTTGCCATTATGTTATATACTTGATAGACAATTTACTTTTACGATACTTATAAGCTAAATAATGTAAACAGTAGATAATTATTTTTTTAATAGTTATTTTTATCCTGTACATGAATTACACACAATGTTAATTGTTCTATATGCTATAAAAAATCCCGAACACAACAATAACACTATAACCAGCAGTGCGCCCGGAGGACACGTGTTTTTATGATGGGATTTAGTGGAGAGGGCTTGAGCTTTATGGTTAGAGTGGTTTGAAAGATTGTAGTGACCTCAGCCAAAATTTTACATAAAAAAATAATTAATTGAAATAATTAATATGGTCAGTTATACCACTCAACATAAATGGATTAATGTAATAAGTAAAGAAGTAATCACTTCACTAACAGCACGCCGTGGCCGTTTTCATAAGTCGCTGAGAATCTAATCCTGATTACACGACATTTGAAAACTGGCAAAGAAGAGGGAAAATTCGAAAGGTTGTAAGTTGAGATGGGAAGTTGGTGTCCGAGTAATCGAAGTTACGATAGTTCAAGTTAGGTCGTGGGTTCGAATCCTGCTCGTGACACTAACTTTTTCGTCTCTGCCAAAACCTTGCGTAAAAAGAATAATTAATGTAAATAATTAATATGGTAAATTATGCCACTTAACATAAATGGATTAATTATAGTGTAAATTAAAGAGCGGGTACGTAACAATTCTTTAACAAAGGATGTTAATTCTATTTTGGACAATAAGGTTAGAGAGGTAGTAAGGAATCTGAAGAATTCTTTTTAGGACTTTTGATTGGAATGCTTGGATTAGTTGGGTATTAGATGGCTTGACGGTACCCCACAGCTCCTTGTGTTCAAATCGGTCGAAGTAATATTTTGTAAAGTGTTAGTTTTCGCATTACAGTCATGTCTCATTTCAGTTCTTTTTGTTAACCTCATTTATTTATTTGCAAATACACTTTAAATATGAAACAATCAGAAATATAAAAATTGTTATTATATTGTGTGAATGTGCACAAAAGGTTGTGTGCACAGACACAAAAAAGAGCATGTAAGGGTTTGAGTGATCGGGTAATGTAGAATGACAATTTTTGGAACGAAATTAGGCAAGGTCGGATATTACTTTCACTAACTAAGTGAAGCTCTAAATTTTTACGTTTGAATCTCGTATGGGGAATTCAATGTTTGACGAGAAACAGACCAAGTATCGTCGTTCGCAAAGGGGATGGGAAGATTATTGAAATATAAAGGAGGGAGAGTTTTTTTTGTTAAGAATGAAAACAATGTATTTAGATTTAGTTTCATCACCCTTGATTCTCTATTGGAGGATCCAGTATTCGAATGTGTGAACGTGATCCTTATCGGAGGTGAGTGTTGATCGGCAAAGGTAAAAATGTAATGAGGGTAGATCAGCCGTGTAGATTGTGTAAAGAAGGGGAGCGAGAACGCTCCCCTGTGGAATCCAAACTAGAATCGGGTAAATGAAGAATAAAGAAGTGTTTTGGACTGTTTGGGCAATACTGTTTCAGCTCGAGTAGTGACTAAAGCCGAATTAGTGATTAAGAATAACATGGGATCATTTCAGTGCTAGTAGTATTTATAATTGTCAACGTTGTCTATTGTTGGTTGAGTCTTATGTGAGGATTTCACGCCAATCTATTTTCTAAGTACAGCGTATAGAGTATTTATTTTGAGTGAATTTGCATTTTACTCGTATAGGTATCGGTAGTTTTTGTTTTTAACGCAAAACCATAGGCGATGCTGTTTGAGATTAGCTACTGTTTTTGAGTAATAAAAATGAATATTGAAACTTTGTTATAGAGCGATAAAAGGATACATTCATAAAAAGTTTTTTTTAAAAAGATTTAATTAAAATGTTAATTCAATCATTTATTAAATTTAGTATTTTGTTAATTTGCTTTGACTAATTCTACGCCATATTTTGAGTAAAACCAACAAAGGAAACCTATTGGAGCAAAAGTGAAACGTATTTATTAGAGTCATGCATGTGTAAAACGTTAACTTTTTCATAATTTAGTTAAAATATGTTTAATTAAACACACTTCAATTAATTCCATGTTAATAAGTCGTAATGTTAGGTTTCAATTAAATTTAATTGCTTTTTAAGTCTAAAAACTAGTTATCTTTGACCTTACATTAATGCTATATTTTATTTAGACTTTACCATAAATTTATATCTAGAAATTTCTGTTGGTTAGCTGGTAGATGAACCTGTAATTTGATCATTACTTTTCACTCGGGCTGCCTATCCTCGCTGTATGTGTCTCTTAGACGTTTTTTCCATATTCCATGTGCCAGTCCTTAACTTTAATCATCACATATAATAATGTTAATACCATTAGAAACTAATTTACCGAAAAAATTGGTACGGAATGTACATACTTTCGTACTCACTGAATTGAAATTGATCATTTCTCATCATTAATTATTTTGTGCAAGAATGTAAATAAATTTTGTTAATTTATTAGAGTCATTCAGACTATTAAAACGAAATCGACCCTATGGGTAAAAATATACATAATTATTCTTTTATTAAATGTGTGGTGATTAGTGCCGTCAGTTGATGATTATTCGGAGATCGTGAGATGCGATCTGGGTGACGTAGGTTTCAAAAAAAACATTTTCCTTATCGTGCCAACGTTTCGATCTTTATTGGGATCATCTTCAGGGCCTGGGATTTACAAACATTATTTAAATTGAACAAATACATGTAGGATGTGGAAAAAAAAGTGAATTTATACAATGCAAAAATAAAATATTTTTTATGATTATTCAATAATCGTGAGTTGCGGTCTGGTGTGATGTAGATTTCAGAAAAACATTTTCTTTATCGTGCCGACGTTTCGATCTTTATTGAGATCATCTTCAGGGCCTGGGATTTACAAACATTGTTTAAATTGAGCAAATACATGTAGGATGTGGAAAAAAAAGTGAATTTATATAATGCAAAAGAAAATATTTTTTTATGATTTTTCAAAAATCTTGAGTTGCGGTCTGGTGTGATGTAGGTTTCAGAAAAACATTTTCCTTATCGTGCCAAAGTTTTTGATCTTTATTGAGATCTTCTTCAGGGCCTGGGATTTACAAACATTGTTTAAATTTCATGATTTCTGAATAATCATCGACTATCACCAAAATATTTTTTATATTCAGTCAAATTATTTCACACCAATAACAAATAACTCTGACATAATTTGCAAAAGCAAGTGTTTAAATTGTCCAGCCACTTACATCGGTATTACATCCCAATATCTGGATAAGAGAGAAAAGCAACATATCTATGATTGCAAAAAACCCAAGCAAAATCCTACTGGCTACGCACCATCTTGAACACAAACACAAACACAATTTCGACTTCAACAATCCAGAAATATTACGCACAGAATAAAACAAACATAAACGTAACTTTTTAGAAATGGTTTACATCAAAGTGATAAATACAGCATCAATTACAGAACGGACACATGTAAACTCAGTCGCAGCTACGCTAATATCATTAATCAAATTCAATATCAATAACATAAAATGTTTTTAAACAATATTTGTAAATCCCAGGCCCTGAAGATGATCTCAATAAAGATCGAAACGTTGGCACGAAAAATAAAATGTTTTTCTAAAATGTGTGGTGGTTAGTGACCGTTAATCGATAATTATTTCAAAATCGTGAGATGCGATCTTTTTCTAAAACCTACGTCACACCAGACGGCATCTCACGATCTCAGAATAATCATCTTTTATTAAATATTTACGAATATTATTGGAAGGAAATTAAAGTGACACATCCCAATCTAGCTGGATCTCTTTTATGTAGAATGCGATCATTGTCTTTACTACGTTTGGTCGGGTTTCCTAGAAGGTAGTATTAAGCCGTATTCATGAACTCGGTTTTTTGTTATTTTACATTTTCTCGACCATTAAATATATTTTTGCCATGTTCGATTTTTTCTCTTAATTTTGTTCTACTTCCCTACTTTTTGTTATGTTTATAGTATACATTTTTGAATATAAACATAGTAAATATTTTATCCATGAAGAAAATATATTTTACCTAGATAAGTTATAGCACAGCCATTCACTTTGCTTGCGTTTTAATATCTCCCAGGTGTATCGTTCTAACAGAATGAACCTTGTACCATTATTGATCATTGAACGCAGATTTAACGTAAATATTTTGCCGGATATGTTTCAAAGAAAGTTTTGATTTTGTAGTTTATTTCTATAAGTATTTTTGACTTGTCATAAGCAATATTATTTCAATACATACTTGCATGTACTGACTACTATTGAATTCTGTCGGTATTACTGATGATAACAGCAAAATCGATCAGTCAAAACCAAATAGTGAATTTTTCTTTGGAATATTTCATCTTGCAATTCTGATCCTTGTGTATATTCAGTATATGTAAAAATACAGTTAAAGTTTTCAATATAAAACGATTTTGGCAATAACTGCTTTATTGGGAAAGTTAAATGCGTATATTAAAATAATGTAAAAAGCTCACCCAAAATACCGTATTCATTTAAGGAGATAAATGTAAATATTCATATTACTTATGTTTCTAAGAGTTGATTAAATAAAACAAATCCAGGTTAACTAAAACACGACAAATTATTGTATTTGCTTAAGGTACCTCCCGTTGTTTGTTTTTCTCTTTGAAACGACAGTCAACACGTTGAATAAGAAATTTGTATAGTGTTATGATTTGATGAGAGGCTCGACAACTCGCATCGGTTTGTTTGCATTTAGAACGGAATAAATGAGTTCATAACCTGGGAGGGATACACTGTGTACATAAAGAGGTAAAGGAGTTTGACGTCTGTTTGTGTGTTTCAGGCGGTCGGAGTCTACAAGCTAGTCATTATTGCCGTCTCTGTGGTGGTGATCCTCATTATTTTCATTGTTATCGTCAAAAGGAGAACGAGGCATAGAGATGACCAAGTAAGTTGGAAAATCGACTGAATAATTTTCTTTCATTAGACTGGTGGCATTTTTTGCAATGGCATCAAAGTTTAGTTTTTACGAAGGGCTAAAATATATATTTTTTTAAATGCAGCTAATATATTTAAGGTTAAACTATGATTAACGTGATGTACTTAAAATTTACGGTAATTTACAATTTATATATATATATACAGGGTGAATTGCTACTCGTGCTACAAACTTCTCCAGTAGATTCTTCACCCTAAAATGAACAAAAAAGTTCATATTGTCCATGGTCCGATTCTCAACNGGTAAACAAACAATATCATTTGGAAGAGGATTAATAAGTGTTGACATTCATACAAATGAGTAATCCTGTAAACGTAAACAGAATATTTTATATAGATTTTTGTTAATGAAAACTTAAAATCCTGCATTATTTTCCGGACAACCCAATATATATATAAACAGTTCTTTTACATAAAATTAGACCAAATAAACAAATTTAATTGTTAATAATTAACAAAATAGAAAAATCAAATAATAATTTGTACTGTCGATGAGTTGCCCTTGAAGGATCTGACTCGTAGAAGAGGGGCCTCCTCTCCCGATTAAGAGTAGGTCATACGAGGTTGATAGACGGATGTTTATTTTCGAGCAATTGCTCACGTACGTGCCTGGCATGTAGAAAAAAGTTGGTCGATGCGTCTCACCTTGTTGAAGGGTGCAATTCCTCAACTCCTTGTAGAGAGCGTGTAGGTACGCCATTGGAGATAAGAATCTTGCTGCGCACGACAGAAAGTGTCTGGGTATGGTCCGATTTTTGGAGAGAGTTTTGTGTAATACTACTTGATTTGTATCACTAGTGTTGAAAGTGAATGTATTTATTGGTATGAATGTGAAATGGCCGATGGCAAAATATTGAGTATACCATCGATCATCAATTGGATAAATATGTAAGGTGTAAGGGCGACGAGGAATATCGAGTACTCCACCACCCTATCTGAGTGAATGGTATTTAAATAAGGAAGAATGTGTTTAAAAGTGAGTTTTGAATGGAGTTGGGTTTTAGGAATTGATTGCGTTGGGGGCTGAAATGACCTAGCTGTTTGTACCCCTAGGGCCCAACCTTGGTGCTGGAAGTCTGACCCCCGACTGGAAACACACGAGGTGGGTGTTTCTGAATGCCTGCCTGTGATTTATTGTAAATTACAAAAACTGGAATTAAAAAGTGATAGATTCAACTTCGTACACGCGTGAATGTATGATTATTGGTGTGCAGATAAGTTAGTAATTAATCATTTTTAAATAACATTCTCTCCATGAAGATGATGAGAAAAAGTGTAGATTTTTATATCCGATTAAAATATTTATATATTGTTGTTAATGCAAAAATGTTTTGAACACTACATACTTTAAAAACGTACATTTAAAAAATCATTGAACTTAGGCATAATACGAGAAGTATAGCATCTCTTATTTTATGGAAAGGATAAAGATTTCCACGAAGCCCATATTTTTATCTCTTGAAAGGATCAGATCAGCATTTCATTGATCGTTAGTCGGACATATTTTATTTGTAATAGATTCTAATATTAAATAGTCTAATAGTAAATGGTACGTTTGAGAAAAATAACTGCATATTTTTGTTAATATTTTAATGGTACATATTTCACGATATATATTAATCAGATATGTATAAATTTTGTTTTGCCTTCTGTGTATTATTCCATTTTAAATTTTAATAATTCCATGTTAAAAATGATTCCTCCCTTATTAATCCATTATTAATTATTTAATTATTAATCCGTTAATAATTCCTTATTGAAAATAAAACAACCTTAAATGAAATTTTAATGAAATATTATTTTTATGTGTTTTGAATATATAAATGATTGTGCTGGAATTCATGCGTTTCTGCAACCATGTAAAGAAAATTTATTACTAAAAATAATTTTATAAAACATACATTTTTCAAAAAGAATATTACCAAAATTAAACTCACATAACCTTTTCCCAGTCCATCAGTTTGGGTTTTCCGTACCATTCAATCAATGAAGCGAGTTATTAGGATTAAATTATGACTGTTGGAATAAATTATTTTCTATTTAGTGTTTCAATATCGGTCAGTTATTTATAAGAGAAAAACTTCCATATGAATAGGGCGACTTTTCGGAAAGTATATTTATACAGACTTCGCAGTCTGTGACTGATTAAGTTTTTTGGTCTATTTTCTAAAAATATATTGCCAAATGCAGATTTTGCGGAGTGTGTATTAATGTGTGGTGATTAGTGACCGTTAATCGATAATTATTCAGAGATCGTGAGATTCGGTCTGGTGTGATGTAGGTTTCAGAAAAACATTTTCTTTCTCGTGCCAACGTTTCGATCTTTATTGAGATCATCTTCAGGGCTCAAAGTGTTTGTCTTCTGTGTAATTGTGCCATTCTTGCGTGTCGTNATATTTGGCATACAAGACACTTCATCAATAACCCACTGCGTAAATTTTGAAAATGTAAATAAATTTTTTGGAATATCAGCTTGTTGAACTAAAAGTTTTATCATACACAAATTTACTGGTTGAACCTTTTTTCCCGCAGTTAGTCCGCGACCTTCGCACGGTATACTTCGCTTATCTAAGAGAGCCGGCACTAATCCTTTTCACAACAACACACAGGTACAATTTATTTTGCTAGATACACTCTATTTTGAAAATTAATTCTTTAATTTATTTAGTCTATTTTCTGTAATAAATTTGGTTGTCCTGTAGGCGACCAAAGGAAAAAAAATGTCCGCCGCGAGTGGTCCCCTTATGATAGTCGTTGTCTTATGATAATGAGAGGGAAGCCAAGTTCGAAACCAAAGAATATTCCGGTAAAGGAATAACAGTGACAAAAAAAGCAATCTGAGTCTAAACCAGAAGCAACCATGGCTTATGGGGTGTTATATGATTTCTGTACCCACATGGTAGTTGAAGTGTCTGTCGAACAAATCTCTGCGTTTTTTTGTGTGCGTCTTGCAGTCCATTGTGATGTGTTCGAGTTCCTCATATGTTCCGCACGACTAGCACGACTCAATTTGGTGACGGGATTATATTCAATCTGAACGAATTTATCTCATAAATATACATATAAGCTTGGTATGGTCTTAAAAAAAGCAAGCTCATGTTCACTTAAGATAAGTTTAACTACTAAATTAAATTTTCGATATTAATTTAAGATCTAATTGGGTTGGAGATTATCAACGGATGAATCATTGAGTGATTTATGATCATATTCCAGTGAAAGGCCATCTAATCGATGCTCATTTGGAAGGTGGTGAGACGTCAGAACCAAAATGCAGTATCACAATGAATATCCCTCGTATTATACTGCATAAATTTCTTCCTAACACCCTGTCGTGCTTAATTCTATTTTTTAATTCACAGAACTGACAGTAGATTGGAATAAATAATTATTTCTTATGTGTATTGACCCCGGGTAAGGGAAAGCTCTACGTGTTGAAATTGGCCATATTTCAATTACTCTCTGGAATTTAAAATGGAGGAATTGGGATTTGGATTTATATAAGATCAAATGTGCACATCCGTGTACATATATACACATGCACAGAGTTGAGCCTAATACTTCTCTCAGTCCACCGGCAATTCCAGCTTTTGCAATTTACAATAAATGACATGCAGTCCTCGAGAATCACCCACCCCAGATGTTGGCAGCAGTGTTGGGCAAAAATTAGTCATGTCTAATGATTAATGCCAGATCACTCAGACCGTTAGTCATGATTGGTAGTAAGTGGCTAATTTAGTCATTAGTCACATATGTGATTGATGGCTAAATTAGTCATGACTAGTAATTAAATACGAGGCATGACTAATTTAGTCACAATATAGTTATTCATGACCAAATTTCGATAAATCATTTTCAAATGGGTGCTCAAAAAATGAAAAATACAGAACTTCATCACTTTTAAAATATTTTCCAACAGAAATTTATTTCATCAAAACGAAAATCCTTCAACACCTTATTTAACAAAAATCAATCTTCAATCAATAAGTAAAACTACGTCGATATGAAAAGCCAAAAAATAATGACAATAATAATAATAAAATTAAATTAAATTTAAAAAAAGCCTAGAACAAGCTACGCTTTGAAAAGTAAATATGTTTACATAACCGATCAATGGAAAATATATTTCTTTGGATTAAAATTTATTCCACTTGAAAGGAGAGATTTCTACATTATTTGGAAAAACACCAACTAGGGGTCTTGATTGTAATAAAATAGACATGTAGAATAATTATGTAACTTTGGTTTTCGTTTATGATAACACTTTTTGAAGGTTGACCTTGAGCACGATTCTCATATCCGGAGTCTGTTGGATTTTGGTAAGTTGTTCATTGTAGCCAGAGTTGGGCAAAATCGAACTAACTCAGGCCCAACTCTGTAAAGGGGGATGGAGTAATATCTAGTACCCCATCACCCTGAATGAATGGAATCTAAATAAGAAAAACTTATTGAAGTGATTGAGAGTGTAAACGGGTTTGGGATTAGGAACGGATTATTTTGGGAGATGAAATGACCTAGCAGTTAGTTGGCAGTCACTAGGCTCAACCACGGTGTCCGGTCGGATACGACGAGGTTTGTTCACACCCTGGGTAGGTGGTTCTCAAGGCTCGCCTGTACTTCATTGGAAATTAAAATAGCTGATGTTNACTGGAAAATGCATTTATTGACTTTATCAATTCTAAAAATTCTGAATTCTACTCAGACGGAATTAATAAGTTACCAACACGTTGGGAGAAATGTATTGAGAGTATGGGAAATTATTTTGATTAAAGAACATTGCTTTAAAGTAACTAGTTTCTTTTTTTTTGTTTAATACCAAAATCCTGCATTATTTTCCGGACAACCCAATAATACAGAAATTACTGCGGAAACAGAAAGGAGATCGCTGAAGTCCTTGTTTTGAAAGGTTTCAAATTGTACATAGAACAGTTCTTTCCACAAACTGAAAATAAA